CGCCCCCGCCGCCCGAGCGCGGTGGCGGAACTGCGCGGCAGCGCAGCATGGATAGCCCCCTGCCCGTCCCCGAGAGCGCAGAAGCGAATGGTCCGGCGGAGGTGCTGTGAGCTCGCTCGCCCGTCTGGCGCGGGGGACAAGCCGTTCATGCTCCGCTGCGCGGGCCCGAGGGACAGAGGACGGGGAATCGGAGGAGGGAGGAGGAGGGAATGTGACGGGAGCAGGAGAAGGGAGAAGGAGGAGGAGGAGGAGGAGTACAAGGAGAGAGCGATGAATCAGGAGCAGAGAGATGGACGACTGATGAAGCACCGCACCTCCAGCCTCGTCGCCACACACACACACACCGCATCCAAGCGCGCCTGCGAAGTCAGACTTAAGATGCCCACGCTTCCTTACATTCTCGCGCATGGAAGACACGTTGCTGTCAAGCGAGCAATGGTGATCGCGATGGCTGGGGAATATCACTGCACCGACCTTGCAGAAGTGCTGCAGCGGATTGTTGCGTGGATTTCTATCTCTCCCAAACCCCGAAACGGCGAGCGAAAAACCAAGTGAATTTCATGTGGATATTTCTTAAACTTTATTCCTGGCCCCCGAAATCCCGCACGAAATTCACTACGGAATCCAGAACGAAATTCTCCAGGACAATCCTGGCCGACCCCATTGTTTTCTGAACGAAATCCGCTCTGCGATGTTGGCGCCGTGAGAAATATGTAGAACACCCCTGCAGCCTGCGGCTGCTACATGTAAGTGCAGCTGTGATGCGATCGCGGCGAGCATGGTACGCAACACCACTACGCTACGGCACTCGTCTGTTTCTTCTATGGCAGCTTCGATTTAAAACTAGACGTACAGGACCATCCCTCGGGTGATAAGTAAATGTGGCCTGAGAGGGGGAAACGAATGCCGGGGGTCGGGGGGGAGATGGACACCGCGTTCGATTCGCGATGGTCCCACGTTGCTCAATATATAGCAGCGTGCGATGTGTGTACATGCGTGTCTATCTGTCTAGAATATGTATGTGCTCTCTGTGTGGCACGCGATCTACATGTCTACAATACGTAGGTGAATTCCCTACCCTCCCGTGGTTGGATACATGATTGAACCAAGCACTGCTTGCGCGATCGCCTTTCTCCACCTTGTCCTCCCCCAACTCTTCATGCCACCATGTTTCCTGAGTCCTGTCGTTTTCGCCATGGGGGGCTGCCACCTGCACGAATGTCGCCACTTTCGTGGGCTCCTGGGAGTTCCAGAGGATCGGCGGCTGCCAACTGAGGAATTGTCGCCACCTCCGTGGGCTCATGGGAAGTCTAAGGGCCAGGCGCAACTCTGCCCGAGAGCTCGCCTTTTTTGGGGCGGCTGCCAGCTGCGAATCAGCACTTGTGTGAGCTCCTGTGTTGAAGAGGTCACGTGCACTGTTTTTTCATGTTTAGACAAGATGGTTTACACAACGTATTAGTTTCTGCGGGTGTCGCAACGGTTCCAATTGGTTCCCGCTATCGCCGAGAGCGCTTCCGTGCGTGCCCGCTCGAAGATCGCGCCCCCTCCCGCGCGGCGGCTGTCTCCCCGACGTCCCAGAAGCGCCCGTTGCGCGCCTTTCGCGCGTGCCCGCTCGCATGCTCGCATGCGGCGCACTCCGCGCTCGGGCTCCAACCGCGGAACCTCCCCGGGCTCGCCCCGGGACCGCCCCGGGCCGGGACCTCCCCGGTACTCCCCCGGGACCACCCCCGGACACCCCGGGACACCCTGTGGGGACGAAGCACCCAGGAAGGGCGTCCCGGGAGGCCCCGGGAAGCGCGCGGGCAGCGCGGCCCATGCCCAGCGTGGCGCCTGGCGCCCTCCTGCCCGCTGCGGCCGCGGCCCACGCCCGGCGTGGCGCCTGCTGCGGCCGCGGCCCACGCCCGGCGTGGCGCCTGGCGCCCTCCTGGGAGCTATTTCCGAGCTATCTTTGAAGGACGCCTGGCACCATGCGAGCTTGGTGTTTTTCGTCTTGAGGGTTTAGGGTTTAGGGTTTACGGTTGGGTACGTCGCAAACTTCGCTGTTGTACGACGAGCGCGTGCGGCACCAGAACAATACTTGCATTACGAAGCGGTTCGCCCCACATCCGTGCAACCGCTGGACATTTCACACGACATTCCAACACCGGCAGCGGCGAGGACGCATCGGGCGAAATGCCCGGCCCGTGCGAAAGAAACGCCTGGTGGCACGGCAGAGAAGCGTTATACTCATGCGGAGCAGGACGGAGGAGGGTGCTTCAAAATGAAGACGGGAAGATGCTGAGGATAAGGGAGGAGAGGGGGAGTGCGAAGGGAAGAAGGCAGGAGGGGGAAGAAGAAGGGAAGGAGGGAAGGAGGGAGGAAGCCTAACTAGGTCGCACAAATGGGAGGCAGAAGGCGGAGGCAAACGGAGAGGAAGAGGAGGAGGAGGAGGAGGCAGAGAAGGAGGAGGATAAGGAAGATGATGGTGATGATGATGATGATGATGATGATGATGATGATGATGATGATGATGATGATGATGATGATGATGATGATGACAGGTAGGAGTAGGAGTAGGAGGAATAGGAGGAGGAAGAGCAGGAGGAGGAGGAGTAGGAGGAGCAGGAGAGGGGAGAGAGAAGGAGCATGGTAAGGGTCGGATCAAGAAGGAACGGCCAATGTGGTCTTGCGAAGATGACCCGCGCCTCCTCTACCACGTGTTGTCTCCGAGCTGCGGAACCCACTTCTGTTTCGAAACACATCGCTGCACCTCGGTGTCTGGGGGAAGAAAGTACGGCAGGGAGAGAGGCGCTCGGGCTCGGGCCGAGGCGGCGGGGTGGCACGCACGCGGCGGCCGCGGCAGGGAGGCAGAACAGGGGAGACGGGAAGACGGAACGGCAAAGGACGGTGAGGATGAGCACGAGGACGCTGATTTTAGGGGGAAAACAAACCTACCTCGCTTTTGACCACCCTCGCTTCCAAGAGATACCAAACGATGCCAAATTGCAGCCTGTACTGGTCAGGCCGCTTGACGAGGAGGCGCGTGGTATGACTTGGTTTTGCCTGGAAGCGAAAGCGGGGGAGGTAATTCACGCTCTGAGATTTGGACGCCCGAAATGGGTACGGAAAGAATAAGTACAATGCCAAATAACGAATGTTGTCCCAAACCGGCAGCGGCCGCTGTTGGGTAGGCGGCCTTCTATCTCAAATGGACACAGGCCGCGGCGGCACCAACAGCGAGTCCGGTTCAAAATGAGCAGGAACTGCTGTTGGGCATTGTGCCCATTCTTTCCGTACCCGTTTCGCTCGTGTAGAGGTGAGGATGGGCACGAGGATGCTGACGTGAGTCCACTTGGCGTCAGTTGCCGGCCAGTCAAGTGAGGTGAACAGGACGGAGTCGACGATAATATCATGAGGAAGAGGGGACGTGCAGGAGGAAGAGGCGGACGTGGAGTAGAAGGAGGAGGAAGGATGAAGAGGATGAGAGGATCAGGAGGAGGGAGAGGAGGATGAGGATGAGCGATGATACCAAATAAGGTACGAGGCGAGCCGAAGGCGTCAAGTCCGCCTGGAGGAAGGATTGACATATGAACAAATTAGCTCCTCCTGCTGGCCCTCCTCCACCTCACCCTGCCTGCCCTCACAGGCGGTGAGGCGGGCGGCCCCGCCCTCCCAATGAGGGAGGGCGTCCTCCACGGCGACGCCGAATCGCGCCATGAGCCGACCCGTGTTCCAGCTGGACGACCACGGCGCTACTGGGCGAAAGCCGGCGCGAGATGCCTGCGCCACGGGCCTCGGGCGCGAGGCGAGGACGGTGGCAGCAAGACGCGGGAGGTCGGCTGGCGTGGGGATCTCGAGCTCCCCCAAACTCCAGCCTTCATTCCTGGAGAGCCACCGATCGAAAATCTGGTGTTTCTGCTAGCGCAGCCCAGGACAGCACGCGGCTGGGTTGCGAGACTGAACCGACTCCCGGACGCCTCCCCAGGCAGAGGTACCGCACGAGATACAGCACATGAGGCGCGGGCCAGCAAGCGCAGTCACCCCAGATCAATCGAAGACCTTGGCAGATGGTAAGCAGCGAGCCGACACACAATGGCCAACTCAGGGTCTTGAGGGCTTCTGGAGGCCTCCGAGAGATCCGCCCGACAATGAATAGCGACAGGATGGGGCGAGGCTGGCCAAGCAGGCCTAGCCCTTCTACCCCTTCCAGGGGCGGCCTCTGGGAGGCCCTCAGAGTCCCTCCAGCCCCTGTCGGTCTTGAGACCCCCATTAGCGCCCCCACCCCACTGCCCAACCTTCCGCCCCAAGAGTGTGAATACTTTGAGCGTGCTGGCTGCTTGCTTGACGCCAGGATGGAACCCAGCTCCGCCCTTGGCCACGGCGTCGGCGACGGCGTTTTGCCTTGCGAGCCCAAGCCTCGATCTCAACACAAGCAACGCTATCCTCCAAAGTATTAGCTTTGACCATGTGCAATGTCAATCCTTTCTCGAAGGCCCCGTGTGAAACTGGGCCCACGGGTGCATCTGCGCTGAGCGAGCAATGGTAGTTTGGGAACAGGAGCGAGCAGCGCTTCAGGTGCCAGCAGAGCAAGTCCAAACACCTTCGATGTTGCATGCGATCTGACTGGGCATACACACAATTTTCGCCATCGCGAGCGTTCCGGCAAGGGGCGCAGTCCCAAGGGACGTGGCCGACTCGTCGACCATTCCGACTGACCAACCCGCCCTGCGAAAATGCGGGTCCGTGGGTTTCAACGCCGAACCACCCGTGAAAGGCTTACCCCGCAAAGGATCAGGGGGCCTGCGGATCCAGAAAACCTGACGTTGCTCCGACAGCAGGGGCGGCGGAATCAGTTCTCAGACGCCAGCAGGCAATGCAGTCCCCGAAGTCCCCGAGTGACTGCTCCAGCCTCGCTGCCGAGCGGAAGGAGGAGGAGGAGGAGGAGGAGGAGGAGGAGGAGGAGGAGGAGGAGGAGGAGGAGGAGGAGGAGGAGGAGGAGAGGTGGAGGAGGTGGAGGAGGAGGCGGTGGCGAAGAGGGGGGGGGCAGTGCGCCCAATACGCCCTGTTTCCTCCCCCGCAGCCTCTTCTGGTTTGCGCTCGCGGGAGGCGCACGCGACCTGCTCACGGTCTGCTCACGGTGAGCAGCCTGCGGGCGGGGGGGGGGAGCGGGACGGCGCGCGGAACGGCTCGACGAGGAGGGGGGGAGGAGGAGGAGGAGGAGGAGGAGGAGGAGGAGGAGGAGGAGGAGGAGGAGGAGAGGAGGGAGGAGGAGGAGGAGGAGGAGGAGGAGGAGGAGGAGGAGGAGGAGGGGGAGGAGCAGAGGAGAGGGATGAGTAAGCGGCGCAAGCCGAGGGGTGAGGGCGATGACGATGATGAGGTGATGGTGCACATCTGATGCTGACGATGATGGTGGTGATCGCGAGATTCTGTTTGGGTTGTTGCCCTCCATTCTGCGAGCAAGGTTAGGCAGTGGCTTACTAAAGTGGCTCGACGACAAAGACCAACATCCCGTGCATCCGAACCATCGCGGCGACGAACTGATCACCCAGAAGGCAGATGTGAGACATCGTGGTGTACACTCTAGTTGCATCGGGGGGACGCCGGGGATGAGGCAGGCAATCGGAACACCACATCTCCCAATCGTGCTCTGAAGGGCGTGCAGCCCGATCGCCCCCAAATGGGGGGGGAGACGTGGGACAACACGGGGAGGACAGAACTGCTTACCAGTGTCTGTCTGTGGGCGGAAAAGGGGGGGGGGGCACAACGGGGCAGGGTGGAGAAAGGGCACGGATGGGGGGGGGCACCTCGCGGCGCCGCTCCGCGGGGCGACGCCTGCGCGGAGCCCGGGCGGAGGCGGCACCTCGCCCGCCCACGCGCGGCGCCGAGGCGAGAGCGCCGGGTTCACCCGCTCGCGCGTCGACAGACTCGGCGAGCAGAGCATCGCTCGGGACTGGTGGGCACGGCGCCGCGGCGAGAGAGCGGCACCCCGCCCTGTCGCGCGCGGTGTGCGCCGTGCCCCGCTCCTGGCGCGCAGCTGGCGACGTCGACGGCAAGGTGCCGATGCCGAGAGAGAACGCTCACGGTGCATGGTTTTTTCGGTTGGGAGGGGACCTCCCAGATCCGTTGTCGATCTGTCGAGGGGACCTCCCAGATGGCGGAGCATCTGCGAATCCAGCTAGCACTCGGGGGCAAAGTGGTGTAGCGAAATGCTCCTTTTCTCTTCCGAAGCTCTCTTCCGCTGCGGGGAAGGGTACCCTCCCCCTTGCATCCCTGAAGTTGTTGGAGAGCCCAGGGCGGAGCGGTCAGAGCGCCCAAGATGGCCTAGGATGCCTCCAAGAGGGCCCCCGATGCTTCAAGATGGCACCCAAGATAGCTCAAGATAGCCCGGGATGGTTCAAGATAGCCTCCAAGAAACCCCAAGAGAGCCACAGGATGACTCCAACTGCTCTCAGAGTCCCCCGCGGACACCCCCAAGAGACTCAAACCCTACGAAAACCAACAGAAATCAATGATGTTTGCTTTCTCTACGGTTCGTTTCCGATGGGCTTCTAGCGCCTCAAATATATGGCCCCTAATATGGCCCAATAGTGCTCCAAGACGGGCTCAAGCGGCCCCCAAGACGGCCCGAAGAGCGCCCAAGCGTCCCAGGAAGCTATTTTCATAGCCCCAGAAGTGGGGGAGGCAAATCTAGGACCACCCTTTCTTGATTGACACTACACAAGGTAGCCCAAAGAAGCCCTCCAGGGCTCCCGAAGGCCCCCAAGAAGGGCCCCAAGGGCCCTCAAAGGCCCCAAATACAGTTCAAAAGAGCCGCAGGAGGACTCCAGAACAATCCACAAGGGCCCCACGAGGGCCCCTACGAGGACCCGCATATAACCTCCAGAAGACTCCAACATGGCTCCAGGAGTTCACGTCCTCGGTATCCTCCTCCCCCTCCTCCTCCTCCATCATCATCATCATCATCATCATCATCATCATCATCATCATCATCATCATCATCATCATCATCATCATCATCATCATCATCATCATCATCATCATCATCATCATCATCATCATCACCATAACCATCACCATCACCACCACCATCACCATCACATCATCACATCATCACATCATCACATCATCAGCATCAGCATCAGCATCAGCATCAGCATCAGCATCAGCATCAGCATCATCATAATAATCAGCTTCGGTTTCCTCGTTATCGTCCTCGACCGCGTCTGCGTCTTCGTCGTCGTCCCCCTCCTCCTCCTCCCTCTTCCTCCTCCTCTTCCTCCTCCTCCTCCTCCTCCTCATCGTCCTCTTCCTCATCCTCGTTCTTGCTCTGGTCGTCGTTCTCCTCGTCGTCCTCCTCCTCCTCCTCCTCCTCCTCCTCCTCCTCCTCCTCCTCTCTTCCTTCTCCTCCTGCTCCTCCACTTCCTGCTCCTCCTCCTCCTCCTCCACGCTGTCCCTTAAGAGGGTCCCGAGACATCCCCGAGAACACCCCAAGTTCCAAGAAGACCCGAACATGGCACCGATGATCCTCATTCTCGTCCTCCTGATCATGTTCCCCCCTCTCCTCAGTCCCCCCCCCCTCCCCAAGATGGCTCCCAAAGGCTTCTACGAGGCTCTTAGGACAGATTTGGCTTGCCTGGGCACATGACCCGAATGCAATGGACGCAATGCTGTATTGGATCCCGCGTCACGGGTACGATGCGGTTGCCCACACATGCTTCTGGGCGGATGTTCCCCTACATGCTCCTACACATCCCTGATCCAAACAAATCGCCTGGCGATCGTTTCTGCATGGGCTGGTAGGGATACGTGAAGCGTCAAGTGAGCGTGCAAGGGTTAAGAGTAAGGATGAAGAGGAAGATAAGGACAACTGAGACAGCACGTCCAAGTTCCAGTCGGGCCTGCAGAACACGTCGTTCATGGCCGCGTGCTCGTTGATGGTATCCTCCTTCGGGAGGAGGCAGGAGGAGAGGTGCAGGGATATAATTACGAGAAAGCAGGATCATGGAGGAGGAGGAGGAGGAGGAGGAGGAGGAGGAGGAGGAGGAGGAATGAGGAGGAGGCGGGAGGAGACAGGAGGAGGGACGAGGGGCGGTAGGGGGGGTGGAGGGCGAGGAGCAGGGTTCCAGGACGACATCCAGCGGCCCGATGTTCCAGGGGCAGCTGCTCCCCCCCGCGGCCCTGGCCTCTTGGCGCCCGTCGTCCCGACGGGTCTCTCCGAAGGCCCCGGGAAGCGCCGGGCGCCGGCCCGGCCCAGGCCCGGAAGCGGGGTGCAGCGCCTGCCGAGCTGCTGCCCCCGCGGCTGCGGGATCGCCGGCCCCTGGCCGGGGGAGAGAGGGCGAGGGGCAGCGGGAGGCGAAGAGCCCAGGCGTCGGGCGTCTCGAGCACTCGAGAGGGAGGCTCGCCACGGAGCTGGGCCTCTCGGGGCCCCTGCCAGGCCTCCCCAGACATGCGACGTCCTGATTTTTTCAGGACGGCGTCCCCAGAAGTCCCGACCCTTTCCCCGGGACCGGTTTTTCGTCCTGAGTCGTTTTCTGACGGCCCCGAGGCCCGGCGAGGGCCCCCATAGGCCGAAAATAGAGGAAAACTTGCCGTCCTGATTTTTTTACGACGCGATCATGTCTGGGGAGGAATCGAGAGGGAGGCTCGTCACGGTGCTGGGCCTCTCGGGGCCCCTGCCAGGCCTCGGGAGGCCGTCGAAACAACGGATTCGAAGCCTGGACTGGGGGGGGAGGAGGAGGAGGGGGGGAGGAGGAGGAGGAGGGAGGAGGAGGAGGAGGAGGAGGAGGAGGAGGAGGAGGAGGAGGAGGAGGGAGGAGGAGGAGGAGGAGGAGGGGAAGTGGTCGAGAGGTCGGAGGCCGGCGTCTCGAGAGAAGAATCGAGATCCGCCGGAGGTCTGGGAAGGGCGGCGGCCATATCGCGCCCACTCTGTCTCTTGGTGGGTCGATGCCACCCTCCCCTCGGGCAGGAGCACAACGCAGGAGGGAGCGTGCTTCCTCCTCCTGGATCCTCCTCCTCCTCTTCCTCCTGGATCCTCCTCCTCCTCCTGGATCCTGCTTCTTCTCCTGGCCTCCTCCTCCTCCTCCTCCTCCTCCTCCTCCTCCTCCTCCTCCTCCTCCTCCTGACTCCCGACGTCATGCATTTTTCATGACGTCGACCCCCCGCGGTCTGGACCCTTTCCCCGGGACCGGTTCTTCGCCCCGAGTCGTTCTTTGACGGTCCCGAGAGCCGGTAAGGGCCCCCAAAGGCCAAAAATAATGAAAAACCTCCCGTCGTGATTTTTTCATAACTCGAGGGAGTCTGGGTCTCTCGGGCAGGAGCATAACGCAGGAGGGAGCGTGCCCTGCATGAGGGCAAGCGCAACTCGAGCGCGGCTCAGCAGCGTGACGCGGCCTCGCAGCCAGCCCGCCGCCCCCTGGTCGAGCCGCGGCGCTCGCAGGGCGCCCCGGCGCCCAGGGCGCCCAGGGCGCCCAGGGCTTCCTGCGAGCCGACGACCAACGAGAGGAGGGGGATAAAAGGAAGGAACATCAGCACCGGCAATGAAAGAAGTGGCCTCGATCCCGGCTGCGGCAGCGTATGCCGCGGCGGTCGGCGCGAGTTCGGAGGGAGGAACAAGGGAGGGATGGGGGAGGGATGAGGAGGAGGCAGGGATGAGGAGGCAGGGATGGAGGAGGTCGGAGTGCGGGGGATGAAGACTACGAGGGGAGGGTGAGTAGGGAAGAGGAGGGAAAGGAGAGATGGGGAAGCCCAGAGGGAGGGAGGAGGGATGGGCCAAGGGACGGGGAGCGAGGGGAATTTGAGGCGGCAAGGTGGCAAGGTGGTTTCTCCGAGGAGTACTGCGTGCCGCACATGGATAGCGGACCCTCCATGTCACAAGAGGGCACAAGAGCGGAACCGAAGCTCCCTCTGAGCTCCCGCCTCCCCCCGAACGCAGGGGAAACCGAACCTCGAGGAGATCCACCCTCTCCAACGCCAACCCGCGCATCCTCGAGCTGCCTTTCGTCCGTGACGAAGCATCATCCCAAGGCTCCGGACGGCGCCTCGAGCAGGTCGAACAGCATGCATGAAGAGCAGTGGGAGCACCAGACGAGGATCTCGGGCAACAGTCTGCCGCCACCCGCAAACGACCGAGCCACTTGGTGCTCTCCAATTCTGGCGGGTCGACAGTGCCCGCGAAGAAAATCTCCGACGACGTACCAACTACCAGCAGCTAACAACTGCCATGAGCCATGAGGGCCGATTGACAAGCGCCCACAAGTTGGGCTGACGAATACAACAGATCGCACGGCGAGCCGCAGCAGCCTCCATGATTCCGCCATGGCCGTGCCCGCATCAGCCTCCGACGCGCTGCGCTCCTTCGAAGTGCGCGCGACGACCCCCATGACCTCTCGGGGCGAAGAGGCTGGGAGTGTGAGGAGGATGGAGAGGAGAAGGATCAGGCATGGAGCCCAGCAAGCACCCCCCAAAAAAAATCCGAGAGGCTGGAACACATGGACTGGATCACGCGCAGCGCGTTTCCGCGAGCCGCGCACGCGTGGGGCCAGCTAGGAAGTATCGGCATACCATGATGCAGGCAGAAAGCGCGCGCGAGGGGCCATGGCAACCCGCCTATGTAGTTAAGTAGGCGATGCCGAGGACTGGATGGATTCGGTCACGCGCTCCAGAACTTGCCGATCGACGCCGCTCAAATCAGCGCTGGACGCCCCCGCAGCCTCGACAAGGGCCACGAAGCCGAGGCCAGACGTGCCAAGCTGCGAGGCCAGCTCGCTGGCAACTGGCTGCAGGCCGGCATCCATGACGGGCCTCTCGCGCCGCCGCCGCCGCCGGCGGCCGCCGCAGCCAGCGCGACCGTGGAAGCAGCGTGCGCCCAAGAAGGCCCCGCCGCCGAGCCAGGCGCCCCGTCTCCAGAAGCCAACGCCACCGCTGGGCCTCCGAGCCCTTGTCGACCCCGCGGCGGGGTTGCGTCTGGCAGGGAGCCCAGGCCCCCGACGTCATGAATCTTTCATGACGTGGACCCCCAACGGTCTGGATCCATTCCCTTCGCCCAACCTTTCGTCGTGAGCCGTTTGACAACCCCGAAGACCGGTAAGGGCCCCCAGAGGCAGAACATTGCGAAATGCTTCGCGCAATGATGTTTCCCTACCTGGGCTCTGCCCAGAAAAGGGTTCTTACTGTCTGGGCTTAAAGGGCCGGGCAGTGTTCCTCGCCCCGGGCGGTTCCCCCGGCGTCCGCCCCGCGGTTCCTCCAGTTACGTCCCCTTAGCTTAGCGTTGCCTATCTCATTTTAGCTTAGCCTAGCTTAACTTAGCTTAGCTTTGCTTCGCCTAGCCTAGATTAGCTTAGCCCAGCTTAGTTTCGCCTAGCTTAGCCTAGCTTAGCTTAGCCCAGCTCAGCCTAGCGCAGCATTATCATACCGTATCATATCATAGCATAGCGCAGCACATCATAGCGCAGCATAGCATCACATAGCATAGTATCGCGCATCATAATACAGCATAGCATAGCATCGCGCAGCACAGCGCATCACAACATGTCATACCAAAGCATATCATGGCATACCGCATCAGTTCATAACATAGCATCGCGCAGCATATCATATCATATCATAGTATAGCACAGCATATCATATCATAGCTTAACATAGCATAGCGCAGCATATCAAAACATCGCACAGTATAGCATAGCATAGCGCATCATAAAATAGCATAACATAGCGCAGCACTGTATAACATAACATCGCACAACACAGCGCAGCCGAGCGTACCCTAGCATATCGTAGCATAACATAGCGCAGCCTGGCAAAGCATAGCAACGCATAACATAGCATAGCGCAGTATAGCATAGCATAGCATAGCTTAGGTGTAGATGTAGGTGTAGATGTCGATGTAGATGTGAGTTTCGCTGTTGATGTTGGTGAAGATGTAGATGCAGGTGTAGATGTTAATGTAGCTGTCGGTGTAAATGTAGATGTTGCTTTCCTAGATGCTCCAACTCCTAGGTCGGGTCGCACTGGGATAATTAAAAGACCCGGCGGGGTCTGGGAGTCGCCCACTGACTCGGCGTCGATCTCCATGGCGGGCTGCGCCGCGGCCGCGCGGGCGGCATGCTCGCCGCAAGCCGCCGCGGCGGTGCCGACGCGCGGCGGCGCGAGTCGAGGACCCGGCGGCCACCGCGCCACCGCCCCCAGGGACACCTCCACCTTCTTGATGTTGAGCTCCAGCAGCGCCACCGAGGAAAAGGAAGCAGAAACTAGGAATGTAGAGCGAAGAGTAAATGAGGAACATGTTTGTAGTAAAACGTTGTAAACGAATGGCTCAAATGACACCTGTAAAGCGGGCGCGGAAGCTGGCCACCCTTGAGCCAAACGCCCACGGGAGGCCACCCCCTGCATCCAGACTGCCACGCTACCCATCAAATCGCTACCGTTCGGGCATGGTGCTCAAGCGAGTCCGCTGCACCTCGTTGGCCAAACCGCCAACGAGACACCCTGGACGAACCAGACAGCGGAAAAGTGGGAGAACCTACGAACCAAACTCTTCATACAAATACCAACAAAAATATGTGAACCAACCCGCTTCGGCAGGGCCCGGAGCTCATGGACTTCATTCCACCCCAAGGCACTTTGACCCCCACGGCGCCATCCGCAAAAACCTTCTCTCTTTTTTTACGGCGCCCGTGGCAGGGGCGGAGGTGCTCCCATCATTGACCATGGGACTAACCAAAACAAGCCAGCCAACCCCTCCAACAGCAGCAGCAGACGATTGACAGGGCAGACGGTCTCTCAACAAACCTGCTGAATCTCGAATATAAGCTAAACACCATCTTCTCCCCAACGCGGCTCACAATTTTACACTTTGCGAACGCAGTTCGCCGTATGCGCGGAATGGCTCACTACTTCGCTTTGCGAACACAGTTCGCCTGAATCCGCAATCTGGTCACCCGTCGTGCT